ACACTTATGTTCCATATGTATTGTGTTCATGTGACGATAAAACCTAAGGCATAACATGTCATTACTCATGGGACAATCTGATGTCTAGTTTATTTTAACCTACCTAGGGTGTACATACCTTGATTACTGTTATCGATTGGTAGTCTATGCCATATATTTAGTAGACTCATAATATTGATTGTTAATCCGTGATGATGATAATGATGTCGACTCGAGCCATATAGTGTACGCTGTTTAAATATTTAATCAATCATTTACTCAATTTTAATACAAACAGAGATAATCAATTGGCTTGATAAATTTCATATATACATTATAATCGTTGACAATTCTGTTAGTATAATGAATTAGCTTAAATTAACCTTATTCACTTTAATTCAGTAAATTGAAAATTAATTGATTTTTAGAAATATGATTTAATTTCTATTCTTCTTAAGCTTATTGTGATTACTTTAGTGGAATCGATCGTATGAAACAGGTGACATCTATTTGTTCGTATGTGTTTGTGTGTGCAACCAAGGAAAAGATAGATGGGAGCAAACGAACGCGTGCACATCATGTACGTGTCATTTTAACTTTAGTAAATATAAATGAAAACTAGACGAGTGGAATCATCTTGTAAACAAATGAGAGAGAAAGTGAGAGAGAAAGAGCAAGGGGAAGAGAAAGAGTGTTTTAGTTTCACTTGACTGTTTAGTTATTTTTTGTCAGTGATTGATGAGTTGGATATGGTATTCTCTTCTTTTTCTCACTTTTTTTGTTCTCTTTTGAAGGAAAATATTATTTCGACTTTGTTTTTCAGTGGTATGCACCTGTAAAATTTGATTTGAGAAAATGATTGTTAAGAAGGCTAACATTTTCTTCTCTTTCACCTTCGGTTGAAAAAGAAGAATTCACGACTCTTCGGATTAATTATTTAAAGACAAACATGTGCGCATTATAGCCTATGTACGTGAACATGCGCACACGTACTGCTGCTTATATATATATATATATATATATATATATATGATTACCCTTCTAATTATCTGCAGATCCACTTCACACACTTGCTTTTATGATGCTCTTTTTACTTATTATTATTTATCTACTGCTCTTACTTTTCACAATTAAGGAAATAAGCTGAAGTATGGTTTATTTGTGTGCAGCTATACTTCCTTCACCTTATCTGTTGTTGCTTATACAGGTGTCTAGTATAAATGAATAAGTGTAAACAGATGGTCTGTTTATTATACTACACTGCTGAAGTGTTAGAATATTTACTCACTTTTTCATCAGCTTAATGAACACAATATCGGGTTTGATGATATACAGAGAGCTTTGTTTTCCTAATATCCAAACAGATTAAAGTAACATGATCGTAATGCATCTGAAAGTCGAACTAAAAAGGCCTCAGATCTTGAAATACAACTTCGGGTTTTCAAATAGTATTCAAAATTAAAAACCTAGAATACCTTAGTGGGTAAGTCTAAAGTTGTGATGGAAAAATCATAACCACTGGGGTTGATTAAGTTATATAGAGTAAGAATTTGTCATCAAGGATATATAATAATGGTCCCGCTATATTGTGAATCAAAACCTTCTAGAAACCATTAGCTGTCGGTTGTCAGCTCCGTTGTTGCGACGTTGATTTTCTATGATGATATATGTCTTCCTTACTAAGCAGTCAAATATTAGGATGGAAAGGCTATGCAATGTTTCTTTCAAAAGAAGAACACTGTTCTATGAAGAAAAACTAAGCTCCTCAATCAAATATTATCTTTCGATTTATTGTACCACTGAATATAAGCAGTGTTTTCATCGACAGCTCAAATACATAAAGGAGTTTGGAATTATTTTCAAATTTTTTATGGTCTTAGATTGCGTGACAAAATCTGTGGAAATTATCGTAGAGCTTTAAAATTCATCTGAAAAGACCACCTGTCCAACTTTTTGATTAATTTCAGCTCACAATGTAAACGGTAAACATTTCTACCCACTGTTATTCCATAGACTATAAGCTACTAGGCATAGCTTGTCGGAGTAATATCAAACAAGGGGATTTAGAAAGAACTAGATATTTTAAGCGCAACTTAATAATAAAGAATGATCATGAAAAATCACAAAGACACTGGATGTATATGTTTTACAATTCAGTTTTCATGATGAACATTTTAGGAATTAAAATTCGAAGCGTGTGTAAAATTGTAATGCAAATGGTTAGCAAATTACAGGTTCTAATCAGTAAGTGAATAATCATTTTAAAAATCAAACTAAAAGGCAGTAACTGAATCAAATTAAGTGACAAATTTCTTTGGTTCATTATGCTCTCTGCCACTATTTCTTGCTTAGCATAGATCTCATATATTGGTTCACGTAGTCATTGTGTCAGAATAGTAATAGTTTCAGCCAACTAGTAATCTTGGTATGCAATTCACAATGTTAAATTTATCATTATCGAATGGTGGAAATATTATTCGGACTTGAAGATATTTTATTCTGTGAACAGATAGCGACTGAAACATCAGTACAGGTGAAAATTTACTATAATACTAACTAATTAAAACCTTATATTCAACAGTAGAATAATCACATAAGTGACAAGTGTAAGATCGACTAGTCATGATTTCTTCAACTATGGTATTCCTTGGTATAACACTAGAGAATAATAACACTAATTTTCATTTATGCATCCCATGAGTATCAATTTAAGGATAGTTGTCATTGTAAACTAACATTTATAGGAAGTTATGGACAACTAGAAGGCACCAATGGATAATTTCGTCCCACTTCGAAATTCTTCAAAGTAGGTCACTGCAACACAAAGAAATAAATGAAGAAATAGTTACTGTTCCATTAAAAAATGTTATACTTCAGTCGTTGCTTTCACTCGACCCAGATGACGTCAAAGATTACCGAGAAAATTATCAAATTAATTCGCAAATATAATATGAGTTATCACAATAATAATTAATCTTTATGTAGCTAGTTTGTTTGAGAACAAGAGGGAGAAAGGGATAAAGAAAGATGATTTATCCAAATAAGATTTATATCATAAACAGTTCGCACTGATTTATTTTTCGCTAATTCCTAATAAATTGAAATGATCCTCAAATTAATAGATTCCCCTAAGGCTATTGAACTAGTGTTGATTTTTGAAATGCAGGTCCACTTTGAAGATAATCTGTGCTCTTAAATTAAATAAATATATTATTTACATTATTTTCTAATACAATCAAATATGTACTTTAGTACAGGCAATTTATATTTTTGTTAACATGAATTAACTAATCTCTTCAAGAGTTCAGCCAATATTTTATTAATATCTAACAACAGAACTTTTTTCGAAATATTTTTTTTTCATTTGTGACCTAGTTAAGCTGATTTTTGTTCTGCATAAATACTTATTGTAAACAAAATTAAATATTTAACATGAAGACTTTCGTTTAAGATAATAAATATATGTTATATCCTCGGATTTCTCTTTTTCCACATTTCCACATTCGTTATTGCATTCATTAGTCTAATAGGGATAATCACTTAGAGGAAAAGATGTTTCTTTACTTAAAATGATGAAACTCGTTACACTCGTATACCAAACATTGTGTTAAAGCTTTGATTTCATGTTTATCTGGAGATAATTCACTAACTGGTGAATGAATATCCACTTATGAGTACAAAAACATTTTGTGTACAGAAAGGAAACTTCTAAAACCATCTGTTTTATTATTTTTCATTTAAGTTGATTTCATTCTAATACAGTGTCTACCAACACACGGACACACTAACAATTTTCCTGTACAGCTGTCATAAGTTTTTATTGTGGTAAAGTATTCTAACTGGTGCTTGATCTTTCGCCTTTACAATTTATCATACGAAAATTACTTTTTGTTTATGTATGTGTGCATATACATGTGTGATAGCTTAGAATATCATTGACCTTCCTCTATGAAACTCCATCACCAATTATTTTACACCAAATTTGATTGCATGAAACTGTTGTTATTAAATCAGATGATATTTTCTCCCTTGATTTACGTGATTTAATTCTACAGACACGCGACCCTTCAGCCTACAAGAATCTTGACTTTCTATCTTCAATGCCTATAGTTTTTTTCTTTTTGCCTGGGCGAATTTTCTCCTACTCCCCTTAAAGTGACAATGATTGATGTTCAGCCTCAAAAAGAAATTAGCAAAGTTTAGAGAAAAAAATTCTTTCATCTACTCCACATAAATTAAAACACACAAACTTCTTTTCCTTTTCATTGTAAGAGAAATCGATCTCTTTTCGTATACTTTGCCTCAGCTTTTTGTTTTGTTCTCGTTTTTTAATCTTATTTTAAAAAGAAACCAACTTCGCGAAAGAAGACAATGAAGACAAATAGCAAAAAAAGAAGGGGGAACTATCCTTAGGGAAGGATAGGAGTTTACTAGAGTCGATTTGTGCATATAATGTGTGTCTGTATCCATAATCATATGGTAGTATATGTATATATATATGTCTCTGTTTGCGAAAAAGATATGAAACTGATCAAATTCGATTAGATTCTGCCATTGTTAAGAAGAACGATTGATTTTGAAAGTTGTAAAATGACTGCCAAATGACTTACCAAAGCTACTTTTGTTTATTGATAAGTGTGTAAATTGTGACTAATATATTTGATGTTAAAAAATACTTTTCATTGAGGTACAGTATATTTCACTCTTACATAAGAGAGTAAAGGAAAGGTTATATGTTCATGTGTTCGCCTTCCACAAATAAATAAAACCATAGGTTTAAACCATTTTGATCGGACGTAACCAGTAGGTCCTGAAATTAGGTTTGGTATTTTTTTGTTGATACCCATCACTAAGACGAATATGCATTCATGAAGTAGACTACAGAAACAATTTTTCATTCCTTAGCCGTATAATCTACTGATAAATCACAATTATCACATGCAATTCTCTGATATGCCTACACTATATGCTTTATTAATGCAATTCGTGTATTTTTCCTCTTGAAAAATTCTTCTCGACAGGATCGCAAAAAGATGTTTTGGAGGAATTAGAATCTGAGACCAGAGGTGATTTGAAGAGACAGAAAAAACGTGGAATATTTCCAAAAGTGGCCACAAACATTATGAGAGCATGGCTTTTCCAACATTTAACAGTAAGTTTGAACTTTCGACCATTTTTTAAAAATCCATACTGAATTGATTATGAAATAATTGAAATCAGCATACATATCTGATACTTAACTGACATATGATAAGCATTTCTCATGGAAGAAAATGTAACACTGACTACTGTCGACAGCCATATTTCATAGTAAAGCCAGCAAAGAATTAAATAAGGAGTTTAAACAACTCTAGAAGATGTTTTCTTGTAATAATATGGTAAGGTTATGAAAAGAAACCCATTGTGAATTACCATCAATGCAAAAATCATATGAAAGTATTACTCCAGCATTTATGGATTCATTTCATCTCAACAAACTCCAACTGCGATTCCTTATTACAGAGGTTTATCTTATATAACACATCGTGATACAGTAGTTATAACTGGTCAGCCTTTCAAGTATAATCTATTGCTCATAGTGTCATCAATGCGATGTGATTTTCAGCGACAAGTCATCAGTAAACACGTAATACTGTCATTAAATAAAATGATCCTACTACAGAGTTATGTGGTTCAAAATATTCACTCTATAAAGTGAGTCAGTTTTGCAAAAATACTGCCTGTATACAGTGACAAGAAAGGAAAACAACATTTTATATAAATTTATATAGATATCTGGTGTTAAATGTATGAGGTAAGTGGATGTGCATTTTTTTCTATCGTGGATGAATAAACAACCACTTCATAATGATTTCATGTCAGATTTATTATATAAGCTCTCATTAACAAAAACCTCATTAAAGTCAAGACATTTACGCATCATTAAAATTGTGTAAATCTAAGGTCAGTCTTTTGAGTTCGTCTTCCTTTTTTTGAAGCGATAAGTACAATTAGTTTTAAGGAAACAAATTTATGTGGATCATTACTTGTGGCTGAATAATCCTAATTAAGTAGGTTAATTAATGTTCACTACATAAATGAGTTACCGGTGAAGTCTAATAGGTAACTGAAAACGAACGCAAGAATGGATTATTTAAGAAACTACAAGGATTCTCTCTACATATAAATTGAAACTTAATCGGCATAATATGACCACATTCCAGTAATTAGCTGAAAAGATCAGTAGCTTACAGTATTAGCCCCTTTTATACTTACTATATTTCATTCTGAATTTCAAATTTGACCATGGATTTATGTCGGTTAGAGAAGCATTGAAAACACTGGGGTTCGAATCCAGCACCTACTGATTACAAGGCAAGCTCGTATACTATTCAGCCGCTTGGACCTGATTCAGTGGCCCGTGAATTCTAACTTCTAACAACTCGTGATTTTACAGCGGTCACCAGACAATGTTCTCTTACTTATATCCGTCCGTGGTCAGCCTTGAAACAAATCAAATCCTTACAAACTAACTCTTGAATATTCTAAATTTCAGTAGGTTATGAAATGATCCAAAGGTTCATCCATTTGTTATTCAGAAGTCCAAGTATAAACATAAAAATGCAGTCACTTTATGTCGGTTAATTATCTGATTCGTTTTTATTTCCTAAAGCATCCGTATCCGTCTGAAGAACAGAAAAAGCAACTGGCTCAAGACACCGGTTTAACTATCTTACAAGTAAACAACTGGTAAGTTAAATTCAACTAATTTTTCATGAAGTACTTCAATGTGAAGTACAGTTTTTTAGATGACGATAATTCCTGTCATTTATGTGGGTTAATTACAGGAATATTTGGCTGGTACTCATAAAGATCTTTATCACATTTTTCAATTATGACTTTTCATGAAATAAAACGGAGTAGTTCTTGTTGAATTAATTTTATAGTTTGCAGCTATGAATGAATTAACTATTTATAAATTGTTATCAGAAACTGGAAATTTTAATGAAAATATCTTTTAAACTGTACTAGTTAACATGAAACATTTGAACTCAGTAATGCTCCTCAATCAGTTAGCATCTAAGGAGAAAGACTTTGTTCAAAAATGTTTCAGCATTATTAAAAATTACATCTTCAGCTTCTGCAAACTGTCAGATGGTTGTAAACGTAAAATAATTCATACAAATATATAGTTTACCTTATTTACTTAATATTCGTTGAGTTTATCTGACACAGTGATAGATTACTATATCAAATAAAATTATTTAATATGAAGTTATATTCTACCACAGTGCCTAAATTCTACCCTTATATTAATTCATTGAAAGAATTAGATGGTTACAACCAACAGTAATATACAGTAAATTATTGACTTGTATTTCTTTTTAATTTACTGCAAATATCTTATTATAGGTTCATTAATGCTCGTCGGAGAATCGTACAACCTATGATTGACCAATCTAACAGAGCAGGTAAGCTAACTGACAAATGTTGTACTTTTGCCTGACGAACAAATGCCAGAAAAGGAATTAGGTATGAAGTAAATCACGAAATGTATTAAAACCCAAATCGAATATAGAAAATAGGGAGGACTGTATTTATGACAGTTTAATAAAACGATTTGGCTATTTCATCCAGCTACCATTTTTAAATGAAGGTCGCTATCGTATTGTAATCTGAGTTTGGACATTTTTCACAGCAGAATACCTGAGCAGGAACTTAAGTTTCTATTTTATATCAACTGTTATAGTTTCCACAATAGATAAATTTCATGACACCTTTATGTATATATATGGTAAATAAAAAGTACGAAACAAATTTATCAGCAAACAATAGTACATTTTTGCATCCTCCATTAGAGAAATGTATGTATCATGAAATTATACACTTACAGAGTACCTAAGTTGTATTACCAGTCTACGCTTTCAGAATTTACCAAAAGTTATTTATATTCCTGTTTTGTAAAATACCTAACATAAATATACATAAAAAGTATTAGGAAAATTTAATTAAAAGATGCTGCCATTTACTATCAAATGAAAATAGTTTCGTTCTCAAAAAGTGAGATTATTTACCTGTTTACTACATTTGCACAAAATCTCACTTTTATATGGCCAAAAAACTAACTTCTCACCAATCAACAAAATGAGCGAAGTGATATCTTCATATACCAACTTATATTCCTTTAGTGAACAGGTTAACTGGTTGACTTACATATTCTTCAAAAGGAATAATTAAAATTAGACATAATGAATATGTATTGTTTTCTTTATTTATTATTTAAAAGAAAGTTTGATGATTTCATTTGATCCAAAGTTAAGTAAAAGGAGTTCAAGAATTATTAAATTTCTAAACTTTTTAGCACGTTTGTAACTGAAGAATTAAGGAAACTTTCCGGTTTTTTCTTGTTTTTGGATTTGTAGGTCCTCATGGCTATTCAACCACAGAAAGTGTACCACCATGTATGGATTATATTGAAGGTGCTCCCCCCTATTCGGCATATACCAGGGCAGCTCAAGCCGCAGCAGCTGCAGTCGCCGGTGAGTGTCTGCCCATTTACTGAGGCTGAATGTGATACTGATCTCATATTCTATTATTTGTAGAAGAAAGTAGTGTCAGTGGGATTTTGGTTTTTCCCCTATTTACAGTAACAAACAGTAAATAAGTCACTAGATTTTTGTCTTGTGACTATGTTTCCATAAAAATTTTAAAGAATCGACAAACTTTAGTAAAAGTATGGAGGTTTCTGAACGTTTTCATCTTACTGGAATATTTGAATAACACGACTTAGTATTATATCCATTAATCTGAGAGGAATGAATATAAACATAAACAAATCTAGTGAGTTAAAGTAAAATTAACAGAAAAGAGAATAAATAACTCTGCATAACAACACAAAACTTGTTCTTTTTCCTGAAACAGATTAACACTAGACTTCAGCTAGCTTGCGTTCCTTATCTCATTTTGGAAATTAGTACTTTTTAATATTATTCTCATCATTCGTTAGCCTGAACTACTTAAAAATTCCCCAGCGGTTTGATCAACTGCTGCGGAACAAGGATGTAACAATAATAAGGTGTTTCTCTCAGATGACCAACATGCAAACCACTCTGTCTCTCCACTCTGGAGAGAAGTGGCTCAGGAAAGGTTGGTCTCGAAATTTATGCATCCCTACATAATCTACGGCGGTCCGTAGCAGGCCGCAAGTTACTAATACGGAACCAAACCTGAAAGCTGGTTCAAACAAGCCGTTGATCACCGGCCTCAAGTAGTTTTCCCCTGGTCTCTTTTTCTGTTTCAGACACCCCAAGAAAAAATCAACACCCGCGGTGTGAACAGCTGGGAAGTTATAGCCACCCACACACTCCAAGAAGCACACGAAACCCTCCCGATCATCAATCTCGTTTATCTACGTCCCCGTCATTATCCCATTTTCCTCCTACTGTTAATACTATTCTTCAGGCTGGTCAGTCATATTCCTTTCATTTTGCAACCATAAATAGCAATGAGAGCCACGCCATCAACCTATTATTAGCTGATTTAACATCAGGATCCTCTGTCAAATCGAACAACAAATATCACCAGACAGAACTCTGGCATCTCAAGCCATAGATGTATGTTGTGTGTCGGAGACACGCATAAGAGATTCGAGTGTGGTTATTCGCTTAACCCCACCTGGTCAAAAAGATGAATTTGCAAAATTCACCTAACGGGCGTCGGAAGATTCCTCAGTTAGTTCTCAAAGACTCATAGGTGTAGAGAGGAAAAATCACTTTTTGACTGGATCCCAGTAGGGAGTCGTATGTGTGCGGTCCGCCTTAATGAGTCCGTTAGAAGAAGCAGGCATGGCGTTACCCCGTCGTTGTCTTTTCATAGTCTTCGCTTACACCCCAACCTACTGCAGTTAGAGTGAATTAAAGGATGATTTCTACCAAGAAATATTTAATTTGCTGCAAAAAGCAAAACTTTCAAATATAGTTGTTTTAGCAGGCGACTTCAGTGCCCAAATAGGGAGGTTGTGCCAGACTGAGAAGTATGTAGGTGGCACGTATGGAGTTTCCTGCCAACGAAGTGGCAACTGTGATCGTCTTCTACAGTTCTGTGCAGATAATCATCTGTACCTAGTCAGCACTAACTTTAGGCACAAAGAGAGAAATTGCCTAACCTGGCGACCTACATCACCAAATCGAAGTCGGACTCGAATAGACCACATGGAGACAGGGTATCGTTGGCGAGGGTAGGTAGAAGACTGCCGCTCCTTCTGGGACACATGCGTCGACACCAATCACTCCCTGGTTCGCTCACGTTTATGCTTACGACTAAGCAGACATAAAAAACTGTTGACAACAAAAAAGTGAGGCCCCAACCTGATCAGGACACTCAGTCCCTATTTAAGGAAGAAATAGTTAGACACGTATCTGAGATAGACAGCAAGACTCCTCCTGAGAAAGCCTGGCACAATAAACAAATAGCTGAAGACACAGCTGTAAAGGCTGCTAGTAGCCTAAAACCAAGGGATAGTAAAAGCCAGTGGATTTCTGCCACTACATCTGAACTGGTAGACTCAAGAAGACTGATTCCATAGAGCTCCGAATATTATGAGGAGCGAAAGCTGCTCAAATGCAAACTGACAAAAAGTCTTCGCAGCGATACGTAACATCATACAACTATTTCGACCTACCAAGGACACAGGTGGCAAAAGGAAAATGATAAATGGAACATTCTCCGAGAAAATCAGCCCTATAATCAGCTCTCAGAATAGACTACTGGAACGTTAGGAGGAACATTTTGAGGAGGAATTTAACTGTCTTTTAGCCACGCTCAACTCATCCGGCATCTTGCATCTCCATGAATGGGATAAAGACACCGATCCTCCGTCCTTGATGTTACGAAAGCTGTCTTTAGTCTAAAAACAAGGCGAAGCGATGCAATCTGATGGAATGACTCTAGAGGTGTTCAAGATCGGTGGAGAAAATTTACTGTCTGGTTGACTAAGGTATTAGGCAACGTCTGGAAGTAAGTCACTGATTATCCCGATATTCAAGAAGGGAGACAAGTCTCCCTGTAATAACCACAGGGGGATTAGCTTGACCAATATACTATCTAAAATTCAAGACTCAATCATGCGTAGACAAAATGGTGCTTTAGAGGAACGAACGCGAAAAGATCAGATAGGCTATATACCAAGAATAGGGCGTATTGATCATATCTTTACCTTTTGGTAGATGCTGGAACATAGGCATACTTACCGGCGTTCAACAATTACCAAGTCTTTTGACCTGAAGGCGGCATTCGACTCCGTCGACTAAGAGGTACTATAGCCATGTTTGTGTGTGAAGAGAATGCTGAGAAAATACATTGCAGTGACCAAGGCACACTGCTCGAACTCATATAGCCAGGTGAGAGCCTACAGAGAGATGTCATCTGAAGTAGTGACAACCAGTGGTGTCCAGCAGAAATACCCACTGTCCCTATTTATGTCCAATTTCATCACAGATGTACTAATGGACTTAACCCTAACCGATTTCAGCGGCTCATGGATTGACTTGTTGCCAGGGAATAATCTCGTTGACTTAGAATGCCAATGATATAACTCTCTTAGGTGCAGACGCTGACGAAATGCAGTCTTTTGATTATCTTGGAATGTTTGGTATGCGATTCGCTCCCGTCAAGTGTAAGATAATGCTGCAGGACTGGTCTGCATCGAACCCCAGTCTAAAGATAGGGAGTGAAGTGGTAGGGCGTGTTGACCACTTCACTTATTTGGGAAGTTGCATTAACAAGCCTTAACGGATTGATCGTTGACGAAATCTCAGCACGGATACAGAAGGCTCGTTTGGCATTTTTCAACCAACCTACTGCATCTTTGGCGTGGACATGATATCCGGATGTCGACCAAAGGGCATATGTACTGCTCAGCATTTCACTTCGTCCCCCTTTATGGCTGTGGGGCCTGGCCATTGAAAGTGAAAGACATGAAAAGGCTAGCCGTCTCTAATCATATGTGTGTGTCCCCTATCTCCTGTGTTAGCTGGTCAAATAAGGTGAGCAATATTGAGGTTAGTCATAGGTCGAGTGCTAGGTAAGGAGAGGAAATCAATCGACGAGGTTGGGAAGTTACACCAACTGAGATGGTTAGGACATGTGTTACGTATGCCTAGGCACCGCCTTACTCGACGGGCAATGTTAGCTGACATAGGGTCAGGCAGGTAAAGAGCTAGAGGCGGTCAAACCAAAACATGGCGTCAGTCAATGAAATCCATGACAGTTAGTTTAAGCCAGCCAGTCACGTAGGGAGGTGAAGACTTTCTGTTTGGGGTCCTCGGGATGGTAAGAACCAATGGCTAGATAAAATCGGTGATAAAGCTCAGAATCGTTCTCAGTGGTGCAGATGCATTCACTCTTTGTGATTTGTCGTGTCCAATAAAATTGTGCTTCCATAGTATTATTCTTTTTACCTCATATTTCTGTTTACTATCTCTATTTCGAACTTCTGTTTACTCTCTTCTCTCGCATGTGTAGTACATAGAGGGAATGTGGTAACTCGAACTGCTGAACATCTGTGCAAAATTCCACGTTGAAACCAATCACTCAGTGAAACTACATCGTTTTTCGCCATTAACTCTTTAATAGTATACTTGAGATGATGGTAATATCCACTTTAGAGAGTAGAATACCAAAGTATTAACCGCATTTGGTCTATAAAGTGCATGCTGAATGCTATAACGTGACATTTTCATCTTCATAAGTATGTAAATGAGTGTTTGCCATTTTCCATTTCGATGGTATTCTCTTGTTTATGCAGTCTTACTGCTAATAATGAGTGTTATAGGTATAATCTAAGGAGTAATACGGTACAAAGGTGAGATATAACGTCTCCACTTTTATTTTTTTATTCATCAAATCATAAGCGTATATGATAGTATGTGGTTAGTTTGTTATGTAGCCAAAGAATTCTTGATTCTTTAATTTTCTGATAAACATTGTACTTAGTTAAGTGGTGATTAAAGATGATGAAGAAGAGAAATAGTGACAAGAATGAAAAAGTAACTCACTATTCCTGGACTTTTGACTTCCAATTAAAACTTCAAATAAGCATACAGAAAGCTTGTTTAGTTATGGGGCAGGAGAAGTCAATAGGTAGAATTGAAACATTCAGAATACTTAATCGGTAATTATCAACAAAAGTTTCTGTAGCTAAGTAAAATAATGAAGCCAAGATGTAATCTATGGTTGCCACAAAAAGCATAATTAGTAGCATAAAATCATTAACACTGATATGCCGTTTTCCTAGAGAAACAGAAAATTAAAAATTGTTTAACTGTATTTCAGATGTAGCAGTTGAGATATCACATTGCCTTAAAACAACTATCAGCTACCTTAATATCAGTTTTTGTAAGAGCTAAATGCTACTGTCATGTTGGCACAAGTTTATTAGAAGTGAATAAATTATTCTAGGTCCGTAGTAGGAAGCTATTCTTTTGATAGCAAATAAGTTAGTGGAATATTAATTTTATGAATATTTATTTATTAATTGCAGGATTTTCAAATCATCACGCTTCGAATGACGTCTACTTAGCGGCGGCCGCTGCTGCTGCTGCAGCTTCAGTTGGTTTTAGTAATGGTGTTGTTACAAGTAGTGCATCAAGTCGAGATAATTTAAGTCGTTTTCCAAACGGTAGCCATGGTAACCAATGTGTTGGGGGAATTCAGTCTAAAGCTAATGCACTGGATTCGTTAGTAATGCCGACAGATTACACACTTTCAGATCGTGTTAACAATGTAAATAGCTATTTGCCTCATCACTTATATTCAGACGATATGAATGAACTGCCTACAAATTTATCATCCTCTTTGTCAACAACCTGTAATATGTTTATAAATAATCCGTTTATTAGTTCTGGTGCAGACTGCACATCATTGAATAGTGCATATAATAACAGTAATACTAATCATCATAATGATAACAACAATCATATTGGTTATTCTAATGAAGTGCCATACTATCATTCATTCGACACACCAAACGGATACCCATTAAACCATCTTTCATATAATAATTATAATTCAAACAATCTACCCATCACAAATCATTTTGATACAATTTCAACACTACCAAGTAATTACAGTGCTAGTTTAATAGCATCTCATACTACTACGCAAGCCTTGTCAACAACATATTCGCCAAGAAGTTATTGTTTAAGTGATACAGACGGTAACTGTGGTGGTATACTCAACTCAGAAGATCCTTTAGCTCCTACTATTATTAACACTATCAGTAATAACTCAGTAATTTACAAAACTACCATACCAGATGATTCTGTTGGGGGAATAAATGCGGTAACAACTATGTCACCACCGATAGTAACTTGTCGAGGTGATGATGATGCGACAGAAACCGAAGGGATTAATATGAAGTCAACTTGTTGAGATGGGATCAGTTCGGTAAAGTGATTGACAGAAGATATTAGTTGTCATTCACATTTGAAGTATTTCAGGGAGTGGTTTTCTTCGCTCCTTCAAAAGTGTAAATTGTTGAACATTTTTTTCTTCTTGTTTTCCTTTTCTAAACTTGCATTCATCAGTTTGAGGAAGAAAGAGAATGAAACCAGACATTAGGTTGATACACTATTTCCGGTGTTTGAATGAATTAGGGATAAAATAACAGTTTAAGGTAAATCCATGTGTCCCGTCTACACGAAAGAAAATGTACACCTGAATGTACTTCAAATGGATTATTAATGATTGAATACTTGAAATCTACTCTCTTACAGTCCATTCATGCTCACACAGGGTCTTATTGATAATGTTTCTTTTATGGACTAATAAGAATTCATTGTTTATTGTTTATGAAATATTTAGTTTTACAGGTGTGTTCACTTCATCTGTATTCACTTTTTATTCTAAGATCTAATCAGAGGAATGATTAATAATATAGACAATTATCCCTTTCAGTTAATCTTCTATAGACAATTACTCTGATTTTCAAAAGTGTACACTTGACTTGACAGTGCACTATAAAGAAATGTATTCATTTTCTTTCAGTGTGCAAGTTACACAGAAAAACGTTTGGTAGATATATGCCCATATGCACACACTAATATTCATGCGTACAAAGCATATATATTCAATACAGGGTATCAGTTTCCTTTTTTCTGAATTATTTTTTCTTTATATATATGTGAATATGCCGATGTGTATACATGATCTTGGGGGATATTTTGTTGATTCTTGATTTCTTTAGTTGTTTACTTCTTCATTCTCTTTTCGAATTCTCTTCTAAAAAATTTAATAATGTTAAATAAAAATGACAGCAAAATATATAAAACTGTATTAATGATAATTATAATATAATGATATTATTGTAATTTTTTGACAAGGATAAAATAACAATAAAATTAAATAACTCAAAGTACTGTGTTTCTAGTCTTCTAGTTCCTAGATAAAAGCATGATTACTTGTAGTGTAATAATGCTTAGATAATATTTTCAGTATGAATTTCAGAGAACCAGATTTCAGTGACATTTAAGGGTAGAGTCAGGAAAGAAATATCATGAAAAACGTAATTCAAAGTATCACAGTGAATTTATTTATCATCAGTTACTTGTCCTCAGTCAATTAATGAATCTGAAAGCTTGATCAGATGGTAGTTATTTCTTTCTAGGGTAGATTTGCTCTTCAAATCACCTAAATTTGTCATCATTCTTGTTCCTTATTAACTCATTCGATTAATATTTGACTTTTTGGAAAGCAATATTATTACCGAATTGAAGGTAATTACTGTTAAAGCACTGAAACAAACAGAATGTTCAGTCAGTATTCAGCACTTCTAAACATTCTTTTTCATAATTTATCCGAGTATTAAATATACTACTTAAATCTTTTAGTTTCAAAAATGACTAAATTGGATAACACTTAGATTATCATCGGAAAACTAATTTTAGGAAGAAATCTCATAGAAGTCTAATTCATGTTAAAGTATATCGTAAGAAATAATTTTTATTTAATGCTGAAATTTAGCTGCCATTTTTAACAATATTGTATCTCTCATTGAGTGATTATTATCAGTACAGGTTGGAAGCAGTATTTCTAGTTGGAACGTATAAGAATGAAAATTTTATTCTTATTGGCAATACATATTTCATCAATTTTGGAGAAATTACTTGCCGATGAAGTGTCACCGACCGGATGACTTTTTATCAGTACTTGAGATACATTACTGGGTATAAGTAATTCACTCCCAATAAGCATTAAATTAATTTACTTTATTTACAGCTGAAACATCAGTTCTTCCTTCACCATTTTGGAAGACTTAACCATGGTCACACAAACAACTTGTACTAGTTGCTATGCATTGATCTCCAAAGTGATATATATATATATATATATATATATATATATGATTACAAAAACAGGCTAGCAAAAGAATCAAGGACTATGTCATATTTTTTCTTCTACTACTACCTGGTATCTCAATATAACCAGATAATACAAGATTTCATCAAAGCACCAGTTTGGTTTCCTTTGTAACTAACACTGATATTTTACTCTAACTGCATATAAACTAAAATATTTTCCTAAAATATTAAAATCCCTGATAAGCTAACATATATTTGATCTACCATTTCTACACGATGATAGAAATCAGTAACTCAAGTCACTACACTATTGAATGGTACAACTACACTGAAAATTTCCCAATTTGAAAATGGGAATTAAAGTGTTCTTCTGAGTTGTCTCAACTTTTGTATACTTGAAGTGGAATACAATGACTTCAGTTTTAAATTAGAAAGGTATCTGGTTATTTTTATTGCTGCAGATTTGTAAATCAAATAAAAAGCGCTTTCCACTGTTAAGTTGGTGTTAGAGAGACTTTAACTAATATCAACTCCAAATAGAAAAATTTCTGGAATTGATTAATGTTTATTTAATTTAGTGCTGAATATCTTCAAACCTTTCTACCTGCATAATTTATTGCTGTTTACATTTACATTATCTTGAAATTAAGATTCCAATAGAAATACAAAGTTTGATTTTATTTACAGAAAGCTGACATTATTTTATCCGGTAAAAGCTTACCAACCAATACTGATTTCTCTATATAAAACTGTGTATGTGTATGAATATTATAACTGTTTATAAATTATTCCAGAGATTGGATATATGGATTTTACGAACACAAGTTGAATGTCAGAATGTTCTACTTTCAAAGTCACCAAGACACTAGCAGGGGAAAGAACGAAGGTTAATTTAACTGAGGGAACGAATGAAATAGGTTACCAAGTATGTTGAAACACACAAGCAAACATGCATATGCATGCATACTATAAATTGAAGTAGGGTTAATTGTAAATGCGTTAATTGTTTATTCAATACTGTCTACGATTTGACAACTACTTTGTTTTAAAAATAGAACCTATATATGACTTACAAGGTAGCTACTAGACTGACATCCCTAAAGCTTCATATAAACATTATAATAAGTATGAAAAATAAATTAATAAGAATGACATCAAAAGAGACGTAAGGAGAAGGGATAAGAACGTTGACAATTTCGGCGCCAACTTTTCAGAGTATATATACGTATGATATTTGAATGAATCTGATTATAATCCAAAGTACTATAGTATTCGTATCACTTAATTCCATATCCATTGTGTATTCAGAATAAATAAAATCTTTAATTCTGAAGTTTAGAATTATTAAAGTAAACTAATTTTGTTTTGCATATGATACAGTCTGCACTGCATTTTCTCGTTGATTTTGATAGTCAAAATTGCAAGACAATGATTCCAAAAATTTGTATATTTATAACTTATGAAGTCCAGTTCACTTTGAATGGTGCAGTTAAATTTTATTTAAGGCAATGGGGTCTTACAAACATGCTAAGCATTATCGTTTAAACAACAAAAGGACGAATAACTTCCCCTCAACATTTAAGTCAAACTTCACCTTGATTGTATGTCACCTAACATAGTGAATAGTCTTCAAGTTTAACTAAACTCGTCATTCACTCATCACATGACATCTACATTAAGGATCATTTGTCAACCATTCCGTGAAATATTCTCACCATTAACAAAATAAAGTGCCTCTGTAGTTACTCTAAGGTCGGACAAATCAATTGTCATAATCTATATTCATGGATAACTTAGTTTTTCTGGAAAACTTTTCAGTGAAGCACTGAAGTAATAGAAGACTGGCTTGAAATTCACCTCTAAAAATAAAAAGTATTCAACATGCCAGTACTTTAGTTTAAACGCTACTGTTATTCAGTAGAAAGATTTAAAAGCAGGTTGATGATGACGAAGCAACATCATGGATAAACAAAAAAAACGCTTGTATAAAACAAATCTTAAGAGAAAAAGTCTTCTGGTATACAAAAATTCTGTCAGATAGCGTGAATACTCATAATAAAAACTATGAACGGATATAATATATGCACTGTATGCTAACTGTTGTAACTTTCTGTGTGCTGAAGTTCACTGCTCAACCCCAAAGGTCGCAAATCTCTTGAAACCCCGTTTACCTTCTGATTAATATTGTAAAAAATGCATGACAAAGATGAGAATATATATAGGAACTACATGTAGATATCGAACAACTCCTGTTTGTAGTTAGACAAAAATATGTGTCTAAAAATTTAAGGTTATATATGGTAATGCACACTAAATGCATAGTCTTCAGCAAGCTACTTGTGAATGTAAGCAAAAAGTAGTACTTTGCATACTATGCGTGAGCCACATGTGCTGTAAGCGCTTCAGATGCTGTCTAATTGCACACACTGAAGTATATAGGGTGAGCTTAAAGTGTAATAGAATAGTCAGAGGTCAACTGTCCGACTAGGTAAAATACATAGGCATAATCATTAGCAAAATCATCTCTGTTTGGTTGTACTACGGTACTAAATTATTATGCAACCAATTGAACTGTAAAATTTTGAAAATTTGTATTGAAGTGGTTATATAAACTACTACAAAGATATGATATTAGGAAAAATGGTGATATTTCTTAACTTTGTTACATCTTGATAGGGAAACTTTTCTAATGTACTTAGGAACAGAAACGTAGAGTACATTGAATTGCTTAGTAAATGCACTAGAAACAAATCTGATCGTCAATGTACTCATACAGTCCATGTAACCTGTATTTAAATCACACAAATAAGATAAACTATTACTTTCCACTTCAAAGCCTCTTTTGTAATGCCTGTAGTAGAATACTCGTTTCTTGTAACTAAAATGTGTTCGGGTATCACAGTGGTTTTCTCACTTATGAAACAACCTAAAAAGCTAACACTTCTAGAATTTTACGATGTGTATTCAGTCACGATCTCGACTAGTTAACTTGCTCGCTAGTTTTCTAGCCGGTCCCAAGCCCGGGTAAAGAGGGAGGGTTAGGCATGGGGCTAGCAACTCCACACCACTAAAACCTTCACACCCCCAGAGAAACTTCAACATTCAAAAAATGTATTAAGAATACAAAAAATTTAAATTGCAATCTTATTCTTCGCTCGAATCGGAGAGACGAAGTGACACAGCAAGCTTATGAAAGCCTTCAGGAAGCCAGTCAGTCGATCTGTCTTCTTTCGATGAAAGCAAGAGTAAGAATGGGTATGTGGTATGTCCGTACAATGTACGAGACTGGCTGGGAAGGCTGTCCAGGTAGCCAAAGAGATGCGAAGATATGGCTTAGAAGTACTGGGTATTTGCAAAAGCTTTATTTATCGAATCAAATGCAAATATGTGTAATAGCAGTGATTCAGCATTTGTCCCATTTATCTGGAAAATTCTACTACCCTTCAGACAAATAGGAGGGAATAAAGAAAACTATAAAACTGAAGTTTCGAAGTCGTGTGATTATAACTGATATGATTGTGAACAATAAATTTTGTTCGAAACGTTATCCAGTAAATAATACTGTTTCACCGGGTGATGCATCTAATAAACAAACTAATATGAACTGAAAACATTGTCAGTGGGAGAGTCAATAATCTACTCCGGTCACCCAGACGACAACCACGAACAAACTGAGTCAGTGAGTGGCTATCATGATGTCACCAGCAGCAGCCAAAGAGCAAATTCAGTGGGAAACAATTTCATCCTGCAGGATAATGACAGCAAGATTCAACTCAACAGGAAGGAAAGAAGGTCGCAATTATCAAGCAATGCTTCGCACGTACAAACAAAGCAGAACAAGAAAAGAAGGAAGATTTTTACAGGCAACTACAGACAGTAATGGACAACATCCCAAATCGCGACATCAAAATCTTCATGGGCGATATGAATGCCAGCCACACTGGCAACAGATAATACAGGAAGAGAACTCATCATGGGTCGAGAGGCTCTCGTCTGGAAAAATGAATAAGAACGGAGAATTATTTGCAGACTTTCAATGATTTGGTGATCGGATAGAGAG